TGCTTCCGATGAAGAGGGACTTGTATCTGTTTGCCCTCGAAATCGATAGAGTTCTTGATTTATTCTAAGCCCATTGCAATGTTGTTGCTAATTTTATATATATTTTGGTTTGTTTCTGATTTGTTTTAAGGTTCTCTTTTTTATTTTTAAGTTAGCATTGGAACTGTGTTTGAAAAGACATCATCTGCTAATAATATTGTTACGAAATGTCCGCCACGAGGTAAGATAGCTTCCCCGCAAAGCAGGTTTAGAGTTGTCACAAAATAGCAAGGGAAGACAGAATTGCCAGATTTCGGACGAAATCTCCCATTTGGCGACATTTGCCGATGAAGTTGGCTATATGCCATAGACGAATAGAGAACCTTCTAGAACGAATTTTGACCGGTTTGGCCCAGAATGTTCTCGAAGGTAGCCCAAAAGCTATAGTAATAGCTACTATTACATCACGAACGCATGCAGAAAGGAGGCAGAAAATACCTTATATACTCCCCCTTTTAAAGGGCGACTGGGGGTTAGAGGGCCCAGTCGCCAAATCCTGGTGGTGAAGAATCATCATCCACCAACTTTTAGTTTGGGCGCCACTGTAGAGACATTAGGTTTTTTTTTCTTTTTTTTTATGCAGGAGACTTGAAAAATATGGAATACCCTCGCCGGAACTCGAACCTGGACTTCTCAAAATATTCGCCGAGTGTGCTACCATTGCACCACGAAGGCTTGTAGAAAGGAGAGGGAAAATACCTTATAAGGTAAATGGCGAGAAGACGCCAATCTGCGACGGTTTTGGCGACTAAATTTTGTATACAAATTCGGCGAGAAATCGACAAAAGTCGCTAAGCTTGACGAACGTTTCACGACATTTTGGTCAGATTCCTGTAACTGGTCTAGTCCCTATGTAACTTGTAGGGTTTATATTTATTTTAACTAACATTTATTTTAAGTTTAAACTATCTTTCCTGTCAAGCCTTACTTTCCCCTGGAACTGCCAATGCCAGAGTATGTAAATTTTAGTAGAACGCGCAAGGATTCAAATTATCAGCGGAAGTATTCTGAGTTAAATAGAATGGAAACGAGTTCGAGGTGTGCTGTTCTTACTTCACGAGCGCGGAGGTAGTTAGCCAGAAATTGAAGAACCCCGCGTTTCGGCCTGTGTGCCTGCCTCGGAGAATTGTTAATCGTTCAACGTGATATTCAAAGTTTGCTGAATTAGCAGCGGTATTGTAAAACGCGGTGAGGTTAGTTACGTTTAGAGAGCCTCGTAGTTAGAGTCTTGTTATTATTTCTTTTCAGTTCTTATTTTTATTTTTACCGCCGGGTCGGCGTAGTTTGTGAGCGTCAAGAGCACGCAATTGTAATTTCTTAAGTTGAATAAAGAGGGACTTAAACCCTTAGCAAGACTCTGTCTAAATTCCAGTTTCAACAGTCACCTCTTGGTTGCGTGCAGGTTGGAGGCGCGCAACTCTACAAACTATAACTATATCCAGCCCTGTCTAATTCTAACGATATAAGACTTCCAGAAGTTTTGAGAAATCTAACTGAAATGAAGATTTTTTATATAAGAAAATTTGAAATTTTATATATAAGATTTTGAAATTTTTAAATTTTCAAAAGCTGACTAGTACAGCAATCAAAGGATATTTTGTTTGAATTTTCAAAGAGCAGGCGAAATACTTGACTAATAGAATGTAATTTAATAAAATTTTATATTTTGCATATGTAACTTAATAAAAATATTTATCTACTTTGTTTGTATATCTATCTAGTACAAATTAAGCTTAGAAAAAGGAACAATATATTGTTTTAAATAGCAAAGTAAAGGATGATTTTAAAAGGAGTAATTTAACTAAATTCTTATTAATTCTTTTTAACTATTTATTGATATTTAACGAGGGGCATTCTTATTTACTTTAACTATTATTAATAACTAATTACATTTTGGATACAAAGATGATATTAATACACCTTGAAAGAAGAATTAAACATGAATATAAACTATTCTTAAAGCCTTACTTAAACTTTTGATAAGTAAAATGGAAAAATGACCCGCTTTTGAAAATCACCGTTTGATGATTGATGACAAGCTTAAGTTACTAAATTTTTCAGGAACTGTCTTACAAATATGTTCCTGAATAACTCATATTCAGAAGATGAAGGAGATAAATTCGTTGAGTGCCGTGAGGGATTCTGAATGGACTTTACGCTTTAAAATAAACTTTTCCACATCTTCGCATAAAAGGAATGGTACTGCATTGAATTAGTGTTATATTTCTTGCAACTCTTGGTTGCAGAGTAGTAATAAATAATATTGCTAATGAGAAAAGATTCTTCATATATTTTTCACAGAAAACAACCTTTTGTAAAATAGCGTTCAAATGCACATCATGTTATTTTTTAATGCGTTAGAGAGAGCAACTGTAAAACTGTTAAAATGTATTTTTCCAAATGGTTGATAAAATTTATGTTAATGAGAAAAGTTTTTCGCACTTTGCATGGAACCTTTTAAGGTCGTAATATAATATTATATTTAATATCAATTTTAAATTCAGTCGTAATTACATTAGAATCTGGGACACTAAAACTAAAAATTTTAATATTGTAAAGAGTCTTTAATAGCGCAAATGTGTTCAGTCTAATAATTTCGTCTTTTGTTTTCCAGAAGAATCAAATGACTAAAAATTTAAGGGTAATTAAATTTAGTTTCAAAATTATCATTAACAAAATTATTTCTCGGGATGCAAGCTAAATGAAATACTCAGAAACGTTAACTTTTATCAGTTCAAGAAATAACAGCACAATGTTCTCTAAACTGGAAGAGAGGTCAAAGTTTTTAAATAGAATAATTTTTAGTGATGGCAGATTGAATGGGACATCACAAAAGTTCTACGGTTTTTCAAATCGAGTGCGTTTTCTTCTAATCACCTTATTACTACTGATGAGAAGTGACTTTAATTGAAGTGGATGCTTAAATAACGGTTTATTCAGCACACGTTGCATAAATATAGCATGCTTGTTGTTTTCTTTTTAAGCGCAATGCCCCAAATGTTTTCATCATATTATGCTTTTATGTTTTAAAACTCAGAAAAAATGGTAATCAAAGTGTACGTAAGATGTGGGCTATATGTAGAAAAATGGTGTTTCTTACTGATGATGGTTTGAGAAATTTAAGTATTGAAATTTCAGCCTCGAAGATGATGCCCGTTGTAATGTATTTTGCAGTAATTTACAAACAGACAATCTTCTTAGTAGAACATATATTTTATTTCTAGTTCACAGTGATAGACAAATTTCATACAATTCTTAAGTAGCAAAATTTTAACACTACTCCTAGCTGGCAAAATCTTCAGAATACAAAATCTCTTTTTTTAAATAATATCTCTCGTTGCTGAGTAACGGTTTTATACAAATATGGCGTTGCCACTTCAACAATTATTATATTTATTTATTAAATAACAAGATATTACAACCTCTCCCCCCTCCAGATAAACTTTAATTTATATTTTTATAAATTAAAGTTTACAGTTTTTAAAACAATAATATCAGCACAACACAGAATTAAAATACAAACATTTAAAGGAGAATTAAACAAGAAATAACATAATAACATACACTGAAGAAGAGAGGAAGGAACAAAATATTTTTCTTATCTATATAGAGAACAAATTATTTAATCAGGCCAGGGAGTACGACTTAATGCGTCTACATTTTTATGGTTTTTACCACTTCGATGAACGATCGTGTATTTGTAGGGTTGTAGTACCAGTGCCCATCTCATAAGTCGTGGATTTAGACTCACATTATTTTTGAGCCAAACTAAGGGATTATGATCGGTCATGATGAGGAATTTAGTATGCCCGTCTAAATAACATTGAAGTTTCTTTACAGTAAATATTATGGCGGCGCATTCCTTTTCTGTGGTACAGTACTTTTTTTCAGTTTCTGTAAACTTCTTACTGAGGTATAATAGTGGATGTTCATTGTCTCGTTCATCGTTTTGAGCTAAAATGACACCCATACCAGAGTTTGACGCATCAGTTTGCAAAATAAACTCCTTATTGAAATGAGGTGCATGTAGTATAGGCCTTTGAGACAGTTTCTCTTTTAGCTCTTCAAATGCTTTTGTGCACTCTTCTGTCCAATTTATTTTCCCTTTCTTTAAGTTTCCTTTCAAAGTTTCTGTTAAAGGTGCTGCGATAGATGAGAATGTAATGATTATAATATCCCGCTAATCCTAAAAATGCTCTGACTTGACTTTTTGTGGATGGCACTGGAAAATCAAGAATAGCTTTTACTTTCACTTCACTTGGCATTCTTATACCACGACCTACAATATGTCCTAGATATTTTACTCTATCTTGAGCAAATTTACATTTTATTGGTTTAATAGTAAAAACCAGCGTCCTTTATTTTGGACAAAACGGCTTTCAGGTGACTTAGATGTTCTTCCCAGGTGTTTGAAAAGATTGCCACGTCATCTAAATATGGAACAGCAAAGTTTTCACAACCGTGAAGGATTTCGGCCATCATTTTACTAAATGAAAACGGTGCATTTTTAAGTCCGAAAGGCATCCGTAGAGGTCTAAATGTGCCAAAACTTGTAACAAAAGTGGCTAATCTTTTAGCATTAGGTGTTAAAGGTATTTGCAGTATCCCTTTGTTAAATCCAAAAGAGTTATATATTTTGCGCCTGCTACCGTTTTTACTCGTTGTTCGATGTTAGGCAAGGGGAAGAATTGTGTTTTAGCCAATTTATTCAATTTTCTATAGTCGATGCAAGGTCTTGGATCCCTCCCTGCTACTTCTACTAAAATCATAGGAAAAGTGTAATCTGAATCTCCTATTTCAATTATTTTATGCTGAAGAATTTTATCGATTTCTGTTTTTAATATATCCGTTTGTCTAGGAGACATTCTGTATGGTTTACAGTGGATTGGGGTGTTTTCTGTCAATTGAATATCATGCGTTATTAAATTTTTCCAGGTTTATTAGAAAAGATTTTTGAAAACTTCAACAACATATCATGCAATTCTTGAATCTGTTGTTCATTTAGCTTATCACTTAAGGAGCTGTTTCCTTTGATGTCCTCAAAATCGAACAATATTGGTTCAGAGTCAATTGTTGGGAAATTTTCCTCCATATGATCAATTTCAGACTGATCTTCTGTAATCATAAGGTTAACCGATTCTGCTCGTCTATGATAGGGTTTTAGCATGTTAACATGATAGACTTGGTTAAAGTCATTTTTTTCTTCGAAACTCACAACATAATTAGTTTCGGATAATTTCTTCTCAACCTTCCCAGGACCTTTCCATTCAACTGCTAGTTTGTTTGGTTTATTCGTTGATACAACTAATACTAAATCCCCTTCAGAGAATTCTCTTTTTATAGCTTTACGATCGTACCACACTTTCTTTTGGTTTGCATTTCCAGCATTTTATCTGTAGCCAGCTCTTTGCATCTTTTTAACCGATTTATCAATTGAATTGAAAAACGTATTCAACAACATTATTTCCTTCGTCTTCAGGATTCATCCATTGTTCATATAATAATGTTACAGGTGTTCTAAGATTTCGACCATATACTAATTCTGCAGGTGTAAATCCCGTACTCTCGTACGTTATTGTTCTTAAAGCAAATATAGCTGCGGGAACTTGCTTCTCCCACTCAGGGGCTGCTTCGATACATAAAACTTGCGGATGGTGTACTGATCTTCTAGTTACTTTTATTCCAAATTTTTCTATAAATTCTATGGCTAGATTGCTCATAAAGGAGGTACCTTGATCAGTTTGTATTTCTTTCGGGGGAAACCCATTCTACTAAATATTTGTAACATGGCTTCAATTACTGACGTTGTGCCATATTAGGAACAGGTACAGCATCCGGATATTTTGAAGCTAAACAAATAGCTGTAATTAAATATCTATTGCCATTCGGTGTTATTGGTAAAGGACCGCATGCGTCAAAGTTAATTTTTGAAAATACTTCTGCAATAATTGGTAGTAAAGTCAAAGGTGCTTTGGCTTTATCATTAGATTTTCCCACTCTTTGACATGGATCGCAAGTTTTAACATACTCTTCTATTTCTTTATAGCAATTAGGCCAGTTAAAGTATCTTGTTAATCTATCTTTAGTTTTGACGACGCCTAAATGTCCAGATGTGCTATCATGACATAATGACTTTAGTTGATGCCTATATTTTTCAGGAATAACAATTAATTCCCTTTCATTTCCATTTTTATCTATTTTCCTTTTCACCAACAATCCATTTTCTTTTACTTTGAAATCATTTGTCTTGCTGGAATTTTCATTTTTAGCTTCGTTAAGCAATGACGCTAGATCTCTGCTTTGATGCTGAGATTCAATTAATTCCTTTGAATTAACATTAATCACTTTCTTAAGTTCCTTGTCTTCCTCATCAGCTTGAGGTAAAATATCTTCGTCAGTTTCAATAAACTTCAGTTCTTCTAGTTTCTCCATTTCAATTTCTCTGCTTCGATCATCTTCATGAGATCTTTTTACTTGAGATCGTGTCAAAACTGCATTTATTTTTTCTAAATTTAAGAATGATTTACTTTTGAACAATTGGGCAGTTTTGTTACCCAATACATATCTGCCTGGATCATTTGTAACAACAGCTGCCTTTGTCTTTATATGACCAAGTTCGCAATTAATTTCAACTTCCGCTAACGGTAGACACACTAAATGGTCATTTAAAAGATATTGTACCCAGACATGTTCTCCAGTCATTTTTGCGTTATCTATGTATTTTCCGAGAAATAACATCAACAGTGGCTCCTGTGTCTCGAAGAATAGGCATTTCATACCCATTAACTAAACCGTTAATTGTATATGTCTCTAACAAATCATCATTCGAAGATACGCAATTTATCTTTTCATTTGGTTTTAAGCGAGGACACTGAGGCTTAAAATGTTCGTATGATCCACACTCGAAACAACGTGGTCGATATCTTTGTCATATAAATTTTCTTGGTTCTTGTTTTGAAATTGACTTCCTTTGTCGGTGATCTTTCTTGGTATTTTGAATCGTCCCATTTATCAGAATGCTTAAAATGAGGCGGATGCTTTATTTTTTCACAAAATTATCATAACGCGGTTTAAATGATCCTTTGTTAATTTTCTCAGTCTGATTGACAGAAAATTTCGGTTTTATTGTTTTTCCTCACATCTTCAAAATCTTCAATTTTCTTAACTATTTCAGTAGGTGAAATGATGGTTGTCCATTGATCCATAAAATGTTCTTTGAAATCAGGAGAAGTACGCTTTTTTATTTGATCAACCAGCATGAGATCTTTTAGCTGTTCAAAAGTTTTAATGTTTAATCCGTTAAGCCATCCTTCTAAATAATTCTTTAATTCATAGTAGAAATCATACCAAGTACTTTCAGTAGATTTTTGGTGTTTATTAAATAGTTGTCGAAATTTTTCCGCACTTAATTTAAATCGTTGTAACAGTAAAGTTTTTACATATTCATACTTTTTCGCGTCCTCTTCTGGTTCTCTAGCAATAAGCTGAACAATGTCGGGAGGCAGTAATGAAATAAGTTGAGTCACTTGATTTTCAGCAGGTATATTCATTATTTTAGCTTGACGCTCAAATAACACCAGAAATAAACTTATTTCATCTTCTTTAGGGTTGAAACGTGGCATGACATCGTGAATTCTGATTTTTAAAGGCTGCTCAGGTAACTGCGTAGTTTCTACCGGCTGTGCTGTTGCAGCCATTGCTTCCAACTGAAGTTTCTGTAGCTCAAAGGCTCTAATTCGCTCTTCTCTTTCACGCTCTTCTTTTCTTTCCCTTTCTTTCTCTTTCGCGTTCTCTCTTCTTTCTCTTTCTTCTCTTTCGCGTTCCTTTTCTCTTTCTTCCCTTTCGCGTTCTCTTCTTTCTTTCTTCTCTTTCGCGTTTTTTTTCTTTTTCTTCTCTTTCACGTTCCTTTTCTCTTTCTTTTCTTTCACATTCTTCTTTTCGTTCCCTTTCTTCTCTAATTGCAGCCAGTAGTTCTCGAGTAAACTCCTCATCATAATCGGGACTTTCAGTAATCAGTTTATGCAATTGAGCAATCTTAAATTCAGGTTTCACGGTTAAACCTAACTCTTCTGCTAGTACTTTTAAATCCTGTTTTTTTACTCCTAGCTAAGAATGACATGTTGACACAAGTTACTTTTAATAGGCTTCCTTTTGAAATTCAATCTAAAAGCTCGTACTTGTATTAAAAATTTATAATTTCTGGCGAGATTTAATTTCTCGAATACGAAATTCACACTAACCAATTGGAGAGAATTATTTAAACAACTTTGCCAGGTTGGCACAAAATAATTTAATACTACGTCGGGTTGACGTTTTAACTTGCTATTCACAAGCCTCGTTAGCTATAACTATATAAACACCTTTGCCAGTTAGGCAATACAATGGAATTTTACCAACGTCAGTTTGACGATTTGACTATCTATCTCCACGCCTGGTTGGCGATAACAAAAACAATTTTTTCCAGTTTGGCAATACAACTTTTAGAATATACAATCTGTAATACGTCGGGATGACGTTACTATCTATCACACGCCTGGATGGCGAGAACTAAGAAAAAAAGTTTTGCCAATTCTGCAGTATAATCAAATCACACTACGTCAGTTTGACGTTGCTACTTATTTTACACGCGCCTGCTTGGCAACAAATTCAAAATTCAGCTAGCAGTTCTTTTATTTATAATATTATATATATAAACGCCGGGATGGCTTCCACATATCAATTATCAACATAAAAAATTCAATACAAATAAAAGTAAAGCATAAATAAGTTTCAAAATACTTCTTTACCACAAATATCAATTATAAATTTAAGCTGAATATTTTTAGTGTCAGTTATTTTAAACAAAATCGTACACGATAAACTATAATTCTGAAAACAAAGTATTAAAATTCAAATAAACAGCTTTTTTTAAGAAAACCAAAAGTTAATCTTATCTTCAGAGATCAGCAGTGTATCCTATTTTTGACAAGTTTTTTGCTCGGACGCAAGTTACAGAAGCACAGAAGATAACCTTTGAATGATCCGCTTCAAATCTGGCTTTAAAACGGCAGACTTCTTACATCCATTTATCCTTGAAATAAACAAACTCGGCAATTGGTATTAGCAAACTTGTTCAAAAAATTCAGCAAATTTCTGGGATTAGGAGACCAGCACCATCAAAATTGATAATTGCACTCCTAATTTCCAGTATCTCGGTGGAACCTCCAATTTATTAAGACTGTAATGTATTTTGCAGTAATTTACAAACAGACAATCTTCTTAGTAGAACATATATTTTATTTCTAGTTCACAGTGATAGACAAATTTCATACAATTCTTAAGTGGCAAAATTTTAACACTACTCCTAGCTGGCAAAATCTTCAGAATACAAAATCTCTTTTTTTAAATAATATCTCTCGTTGCTGAGTAACTGTTTTATACAAATATGGCGTTGCAACTTCAACAATAATTATATTTATTTATTAAATAACAAGATATTACACAGTTCTGGACAACCATCCTCTGTAAACAAGGACTTACTAAATGAAGCTATCGCTGAACATTCCCATTATACAGCTCAGGATCATCAGAAAGACTGAAAACTTCAAAACTAGAGTACGTGATTATTTGAAGAAGGATGAGTATGTAAGATTTTACGATGCATGGGTACATCATAAACATGCATGGCTTAATCTTCGAAACAAGCATGTTTTGAGGATTGTAACTTAATGAAAATTTTTCGGCTGTGGGAATTATATAAGAGTGGAGACAGCATCAGTTTAGTTTAGCTGTATTTGAGGCTTTTTGTATTGTGTTATGTTCAACGCTCGTATAGTGGTTTGAAGTGGTAACTCAACTGTGCCCAACCCTGTGCTCACGAGCACAAGTGTGTTCGCCGATCGTTTTGTATGTGCTCGCCAGCCCGATTAGGTACCATGAGCAAAAATATTTTTTAAATAACCATTCATTTATATTTCTTAATTGTTAAAATATAGTAAGCATTTGTAGTCGTAAAAGATATCTTTCAAGACGTTATAAAATAATTGATTGCTGACTGATGAACTTAATAGCGAACATGGAATCTTATTGCTTCATTCCAATGTTTAGATGGCTCAGCAGAGGAAACGCAGAAGTACTTCAACGGTTTGTAGAATTTCTTTCGCCAATAAAGCAGTTTTTGGAATCGGA